AATGAGAGAATCACAAATATTTTTTGGGCTGACCCAAAAATGATTATTGATTATGGCCACTTTGGGAATATTATCTCATTTGACACAACGTTCCGAACAAATAAGGAGAATCGACCATTTGCATGTTTTGTTGGTTTCAACAATTTTAGAAAGACTATGGTATTTGGCGCTGCATTGTTGTATGATGAAATGACAACATCATTTCAGTGTTTATTTGAAACATTCTTACAAGCAATGTTTGGGAAGAAGCCTATCACTATATTTACTAACAAATATCAAGCAATGACCAAAGCTATATCCCAACTGATGTCAAAGACATATCATGGGCTATGTACTTAGCACCTTTCCCAAAATGCTTTAAAACATCTTGGAAATATATATAAGGATGGTTCAAACTTCGTCACCAAATTTATAGTGACGAAGAATATTAAGCAATATATATAAGCATCTTGGAAAATTGTGTAGTCATGCACTTAAGGTGTTGGACATGATGAATATTAAACAAATTCCTGACCAATACATTATTAAGAGATGGAGACGAGACGTGAGGAATGTTCATGGACATGATTCATTTGTAACAAAAAATGTGGAGGGTCCCAAGTTGGTGACAACATCACGATACAGACAACTATGTCTTAGAATGGTCAAGTTAGCATCTCGTTTTTTGATCTTCAGCCTGCATTCAAGTTGGTGTCTCGAGGCATTGATGCTTTGTTTGATCAAGTGGAGAATATGTTTTCATCACTTAATAACTTGAGTGATAGCACCGATAAAAGCAATGCGGGAAATGAAGGCATAGAGGATGTGGCCCCTAACATTCTACAGGTGAGAGGTTAAAAAGGAAAGATAGTGGTTGCAAAGGTTGGGGACGACAAAAACCTTAACATGAGAAACAAATGAAAAGGAATAAAGTAGGCCCGCAACCCTCTCATATATATATATATATATATATATATAAAGTAGAGCTGAGTTTGAATTTTAGAGACAAAGAGAAGTTTAGATCGTTTTGAGATAAAACATAAATACATCTAACGGACAACGTAATTCCAACATAAAAGAAGTTCAGATCATCTCATTAATATTGATCCAACGATTTACAATGAGTACTGAATTTTATTTTCCCGCCCAACAACATTACCTAACTCACGCCTCTCTCTTTCTTCAAATCCAGATATTTTTAATCTTCTTTCCTTATCACAATCCATCCCACTTAAAACTCAAATCCCTCCCAAACATAGTGCACGCCTGTCACACAACCCCATGAACGGTCAATACCCATCTCTCCTCTCTCGCCATCAACACTACACACCTGGAACATTTTTATCTCTTTTCGCTCCCCTTCTAGAAGAAGACCAGGTGGTCAAAGGCCCAGACCCCCTCTCTCCTTCTCTTTTCCCGATCATTCCTCTACCACGGCTCAGGTACCTCTCTTTCTCTCTCAACTCACACACTCACACACACAATAGAACACAGACAAACACACCTACACAGTTTCATACCATCTTTGTCTCTCTGTCCATTGAATTATTTGCATTTGAAATTCTTTATTATGTGTGACTTTTTATGTCTAATTTATTTACAACAATTCCATGCTTATTATGAGAAAAATATTTTTTTTCCAGACAGTTGTCAATTTGTCTTATTGAATGAATCACAAATTAAAATTAGAAGGTTATATTAGTTGCATGTATGTTTATAATAGTAGATAACTTAATGATCCTTTTCTATGTTTAGGCCCCATCTATCGAAAACTCACTTGCTTTTAAATGGTACAATGCTCAAGAGGAGATTCTTGAAAAGAAAATAAAGGTATGTGCTGATTTCCTTTTTAATTTTCCTCCTTTTTTTCACCAAGCTAGCTAATTTACATGGTTGCAGTTGTTAGTTTGTTGTGATTGTGAATTAACATGTGGTGTTATGTTTTTTGAGATTATCTTTTTCTTTGACTACTTGGGAATGTTTGTGCTAAGAGAGTCACTTGGGATTATGGAATGTGTTTTTTTTTTAAATAAAGTTTTCATATATTAATTGGGATAAGTTTGGGATTATACCAAAATAGTTATTATTTGGGTTAAATAGTTTGAATGTTTGCTTGGGTTACTTGAAGGTTGATTGATGAAGTTTGAACTTATTTGTAAGTTTGTCTTTTAATTTGATTTGTAGCTATGTGTTGGCACCCTTAATTTGGGAGATGATTCATAAAGTTAGGGATGCTTTTGGTTCTATAAACTTAGCTTTTATTGTGTGAGTTTCTTTGTGCATGAATGTGGATGGATTCATTAGATTTCGGTTTGGTTTCATTGTTTAAATGGGTGTAGTTTAATTGTTTAAATGGGTGTAGTTTAATTGTTTAAAATAAGAAGCCTTTCGAAATTTATATATAGGTTAATTATGACTACTATATAGGTTAATTATAACTTCCAAAACCCTCAAAAATTCATGATTGAGCAAAATTTTTTTTAATTAATTATAACTTCACCTTTAAAAATGGTAATTTTACTTTTAAAAAATATGACTTTCAATATGGTATTATTTTTTTCCCCAATATGATGTTGCCATCTATGAATTTTTATCAGGATGAGTGAATAGTTTATCTTCATTTAGAATTAGGGTTGATTAACAATATTAAAAGAGGTGTCGAACAAAAAATATAATTATTACGAATTAAATTATAATATTTAAGTGTCAAGTTACAATTTAAAAAGTTGTTATCAATAAAAAAAGCTTATAATTAATAAAATAAATCTTGAAATATTGTTAAACTTCAGTTTAAATTTATGGGACTTTGACTATTAAAGTTGAATTTTTTTTTTATTCTTCACTGAAATTTATTTTCACGAAAATCTTTATATAGGTAAATATTTTGTGGAGTATGTATACAAGGTGCAGGTGTGTTAAAAATGAGTGTAGACTTTCAGCGTAGTGCGTACTCATATTTTGTGCTTAATTATTTGTATCTATGGTTAATTTTTGATTTGTTTGAATTGTATCGTGTGTTCAGATACAAGTTATCGCTAGTATATATATATATGGGAAAGTTTAAGTTTGGGACGCAAATTTGATAACGACGCTGTTGTAGTATGGTCTATGGTGAAAGCAAAGCACAGCCGCACAGGGGAGGTGTGGTCTGCGGTTTTTTAACTACCCACTTTCTATTAAAACTAGAGAATCTTTCTATTATACAATGCAGGTCTAGACCATTACAGATCATGTCTTTCCTTTGAAACCAAAAAATTTGTGCACACCGAGCTTTACACCGCAACATACAGTTTTTTCGAGCGGTAGATTGTCAATCAAATCATTACATTAAATGACAAAAATCAAATTTTGTGATAATTTATTATAATCAATCACAAATTCTACCGGTGAGGGTAGAAATTTGTGTACGAGCTTTACATCACAACATACAACGGGGGATTTACAGTGGGGCAGCTGTCTTTATTGGAATTTTAAAAAATTTTGGGGCCTAGGTAATATTTTAAAATTTTTGAATATTTTTACAAATTGCCCCCATTGAAAAGTTATAGGTATAGTTCTATATATTAGGAGAACATGTGGGTGTGTTTCATAAATATAACATTAAATTAGGTGAACACTTTTTGTCTCTTGGTCCCAATTTTTCATTCATCTCTTCAAACTTCCTTCTTTTCTTTCTTTTGCCCCTCGTATCGTTCCTATTGTGAATTGGAAATTCCTCTCTTCAATTGGATTTTGCTCTCTTTAGTGTACCTCTGTTTCCTTTTTATGTTTTCCTTGTCGTCAATCGACCCTTTTTATGTTATCGATTTGAGCATTATTTAACCAATCAATTGTGAAAATTGCTGAGTGTTTAAAAAATTCTATGAGCGCTATCGTGCAAGAGGTAACTCACACACAATTTCTTTGATTTCAAAATTTTTTGTATTTTTTGGCATGGGGATAAGGGCTTCTACCCATTTGGTTTTTTTATCCATTTTATTTTTTACCTAACAGTGGATGATAAAATTACAATTATTTATATTTGAATTGAATAATGACCATTCAAACAGTTGATTTTTTTATCTCTTTGAAATATTAGTTGTAATGTTAATTTTTTTGAATATTAGACGATGGTGAAGGTATAAAAGAGTTTGATTTTACTGAATAAACTTATCGATAGTTTTGTTATGTAGCAGTCATTTGTTTGTGAATTATAGATATGATTGAAGTTTATGTTATTACGATTCAAAGCAGTCAATCTCCTCTTTGTTATTTTTAGATGTTGGAATTAAAACTCGAATTTGAATTTTTTAAATCTAATTGAATTGCTCTCTATATAATTTGGTTGTTAAGAATTATATTTTGCATTAAGTTATTTTGATTAATTGGACTTGAAGAATTTGATTATTATAGTTCAGATTGTTCTTATATCTATGTTCGACTTAATAGAGTTGTGATAGAATTAATTTTTCTAAATTACTACTATTAAAATTTCTCAATTTATTTTGTTACTTATAATTTTCTTGTAATTTATAATGATGGGTATTGAGTTAGGGTCTAACTATTAAATTGATTTTTGAATTAGTTAGGATAATTTTTTTAAAAAAAAAATATTTAAAGTTATTAAGGAATTTTATGTTGCCCCCACCGAAGAAATGGTTTGACTTCGCCCCTAACAACATACAATTTGTCCGAGTGGTAGATTGTCAACCAAAGCATTACATAAAATGATAAAAATCAATTTTTGTGATAATTTAGGATTGATCGCGAATTTACTACAAAAATAATAAAAATACCTTTAAAAATTATTAAAATACCTACAAAGTTAAAAAATCACCTACCAAAGTGGTAAATTTTTTTTATTATATAAACACCCACAAAATTTATAAAAACACCAACAAAAGTAATAAAAATTAGAGGTATAGTACTCAATTTTTTTTTTTATTACCGTAGGCTTCTTCGTAACATATCTTTTACAAATCTAAATTCACAATTTAACTCGGCGTCCAAGCATCGATGCGCCTTGCATTCACCATGTCAGATCACATAGTGTTGGTCGCCATATGCATATGTGCTGCATCATGGTGGTGCATATGTGCCGCATGCGCGGCATGCTGGTGGTGCATATGTGCTGCATGCGCCGCATGTCGGCGGCGTCTCTGTCGGCGGCCCGAATCAGTATCATCAGGATCATCGAGACAGGCAAAGACGATCATAGATAAGATGGACAATGACACCACCACCGCACACAGTAAGAGCAATCCACCGGAGATTTGGAATACACCGCCATCAGCGCCACCAGTGAGAGCATTCAAAATCCTAGCCATCTTGCACACTTTTTTGCTATTCCTTGGCCATCTAATATTCAGCAACAATGCTGATATATAGAGGTTTGATGGTTTATAATGAAGTACTATTTTCTTTGAAGAGTCAGCATTGTTCCTTGTCAAACAATGCGTGCTTCTTTGTATTTGCTCCAAAGTTCATTGAATTTGATTAGTTACAGGACTTGACCATTTCATCCCCTTGGCAAATACAGTTTGACAAGGAACAATAATAATAGGGTAAATTATAGGTCATGTTTGGTTTGTGATCAGAAATAATTTTTTAATTTTAAAATTTTAAAAATGTGCAAAACATGTTTGTTTAGTATTTTTGTTCACTAAATTTTGGGAAAAAAAATGAGATTTTGGTCAAAGAAACAGAAAACAAATGTAACTTATTTTTAGAGTTTTTTTAAAAAATTTTAGAAACAAGGAGAATATATATATATATATATATATTTTTTTAAAAAAAATTTTAGTTTATTAAATTTTTTTTTATAAAATTGTCAATCTAAAAATAATTTTTTTATATTTTTTTATTAATGTTTGAATTACTGTTCAAATATATATTTAGATTGTCCAAACATGTTTTAATATTTTCTGTATTATAAAATTATTTTTGAAATTATCTAACCAAACAAATTTTTTATCTCAAAAAATATCAAAACCACTTTCTAAAAACTCTTCTCAAAATTTATTTTTAAATACTATTTTTTAAAATATAAACCAAATAGTTCCATAATGTTTACCCTTGACATTTGACTTTATTACCCGAACATTTTTTTACATTTCAAAAACTACGCTGAGACGCCAGTAGGCATCGTTGACGGTATTAACAAAAAGACTATCTTACCCTACATTTAATTAATTAAAAATTAAAAAAATCAAACCCACTAGCCAAGTCTCTCTGTGTGTGAAAACCTTTAACAACCAGCAGAGTAACACCCAACCACCCATCACCCCACTCTTCCCCCACTGTTACCAATATACACTACCAACGCCGCCGGAAATCCAATCGCAATAGTGAATCCAACAAACAACATCAACGCCAAAGAGACCCACCCACAATCGATACCACTGCCTCTCCCAATTCGAAACCCATCGCGGATCCGATTCTACACACACTAGATTTTTTTGTAGATCTAAAATTGAATCACCACCTAAACACAACAGATCTCGGATCATTTCACAGATCTAATTCCTTGCTTTAGCAATGATCGAAGACCTGGAGTTTTCAGATCTAGGGTTGGTGGTGAGCTGGTTGTTTGATTCATTCTTCTTCGTGGGTTTTGCACACAGAGTTGCACAAGTTGGAAGGGTTGTGACGTTGTTAGACTATATTTGGGGAGGGGATGGAGTGAATGTAGGCAGGGTTGGGGGCCTGGGTTGAGTGGAAGCTACGGGTTTTGCAAAAGCGGTTGGCTGTGAAATCTGATCTTTGGAGGGGTGGTTAAAGGTTTGGTCGAGGATTAAAATATTATTTCAAAACATTCAAAATATTTTCGTTTTTACGGAGATTAAAACGAAACAACAATGAAATTAAAATTTTGATATTTTGAGATATGTCATAATATTTTTAAATATATTATAATATTTTAATACATTTGTACAATTATTTTAGAATATTCTAAAGTATTTTAAGATATTTTAATATATTTTTTTATTAATATTTTAAAAATAATTTTTAAATTTTTTATTTTCTTCGTTATATTTTCGAAATAGATCGAAACGTTTCTAAAACGCGTCAAAACGTTTTCGTTTTCTAGATGATCGAAATAATATACCGAAATGATATTTGGATACTTGGCTTAGGCTCTAGGTATTGGGTTGCGACGGAGTTGAAGGACAGTTTGAGAGAGAGAGCTGGTTTGGTGGTGGTTGGTGTTTGGGTATTGGGTTGCGATGGCATTGAAGGACAGATGTAGTCTGAGTGAGAGAGAGAGAGAGAGAGAGAGGGTTTGGTGGTGGTTGGTATCCTGGTGGTTTCCAAAAGCCACCGTGGTGGTGGCGGTGGTGTTGGATTTATGGATTTAATTCTTTATCAGAATTGATTATCAAAATTAATTAATAATTAGAGGATTTAACTTTTAAATAGATGTATTGTCGTAAACAATTAATTAAATTGTGTAGTAAATGTAATCTTGCACGAAAAATTAAGGAAGGCATTTGGATTAAATTATATGTAATTATCTAATTAAATTCTATGAAAAATTATTTAGATTAACTTCATTCTAATGTGTATACTTGTCTTTTCAATATTTATTTATTTGTTTAATAGAGATTATGACACGGCAAAAAGGTATTTGGGGTGTAATATTAAATTTTGTTGAGGATGTCATCTTATCTCGTTATTTATTTGACGTCCGTTAGATAGAAGGAGTGTGAATGTTACACACTTTGAAATGTCAAGGGATTTTAATGTAGTTTTTGAAATGTGAGAAAGTGTTCTTATAATAAAGTCAAAATGTCATAGAGTTTGAGTGTAATATATATTACTTATAAATGTCAAATACGTTCAAAATTTTTGAATTCTTATTTTATTTTTAATTATTATAATAAACTCAATTACACCCACTTATATACTATTATCTAATTTTTATTTTTTACACCAATTTAACTTTCAACTTATTTTGCATTCTTTTATAAGAACTTTCAAATTCTTTCAAACTCATTCATTAGTAGTATAATTATATACAATTATTTATATTTATATGAAGAATAAAAGTCTTATATTATACAAATGCTAATTGAATTTTACAATCAAATATATGTTATATTTTATTTTTTGATATGCAATAATATTATAAATGATCTTATCAATCTATTTAATAAATTAAAAATTAAAAATTTTATAATATAAATAAATGTGCAAATGCCTAAATGGGTTAAACAGATACCTAAATAAATTACAGTTCATTACGTAAAAAATTATAGAATAAATCAATAATTACATTTAGTAATAAGTAAAATATGAACTAATTATTCTACACTTAATTTATTATTTAATTTAGTTGCACATATAATTCATATTTTTTATTAAAAATAATAAATTTAAAATTTACGTGTGTTAGTAGATCCTAATAAATGTTGAGACCACAATAAAATCAACCACATTAATTAATAACAAGGAGGCTTGTGAGAATCATATAGGCATGGAACAGCAACGGCCGAGGGGTTTCCCATAGCAGTTGCAAAGGACTCTGGCTGCCAAATAGTCAGATTGAGTCGGGCAAGAATTTGGTGGTGAATATGTAGTGTGGTTAAATTGTGCTGTTCATACCTAATTCATTCATATTCGTATATAGTCTTGTTTCTATCAAATAAAAATCATGTTTTAAGTCGTGCTTAACAATTTTATGGCGTGTTTACTTGAGTTTAGTGACGGAACTAAAATTTTATTTTGAGGGGATCAGCAATAACATAGACCAAAATTTAATTTAATGAAGTTATTCAACAATCATTGTTAATAATAAATTTTTATTATAAAGAACCTATTAAATTTAATTTTAATGCAACGGCATTGAAAAAATTATTTTTGAGCACAAAACTCAAAAGTGGTCATGCCATCTTAAAAGTTTATTTGTGACAATCTCCTCTTTTTTTTTCTTGTTTATAATGTAACCTTCTGTTTATAAATAAATCAAGGTCACAATAATAGTTTCATATGATAGCATAATAAAAATGAATTATAAATCAACCAACTATTTTTGACATAAATCATATTTGTATCCCTATTTTTTTTATTAAAAAAAAATCACGTATTTCTTCTCTGTATTATCAAAATAATCCAACAAGTGTCTTTGTCAATACGAGCAACACTCATTCATGTGATTACATTCTAAATGATAACTAAATATTAAATCATTAATCTTTTTAAATACACTAAATGAAATACTTACACATTAGGTGTTTTGAAAAATTATAGGTTGACAATAAAATTTTTTAAAAATATATGGGGAATAATGAAATTTTTTAAAATTTGGGCATCCTCGTAATTCTGTCTGTCTGTAGTTGAGTTCATGTCGACTTATTTATTTGACGGATTTAACGGTTCACTAGTTACTACTTGAGCCAATTAAGATTAAAAATCTAAATCTGCAAATTTGATGGCGATTGTCAAATGTGTAAATCTTGTCCAAGATTGTTAGACTCTAAGCAAGTTAAATTTGGAAGCAAACCGAGAGGAAGGCTATTGTAGCGGGGTAGTGAAAGCAGGCCTATGTGAGGTCAAGCCTCCGGCTTACTACTCACTAGCGTGAGCAAATTAAAGGGAAGAAAACGTAACTCTATGAAGAATCTGAGCATCCTTCAATCAGCAGCTGACTTCTATACTTGCTTCTTAGGGGCAGAAGTGTTCAACGTTCGAGGAAAACTGAAGATATTGAGTTCCCAAGTTTAATAGGGAAGGTACAATCATGAATATACGTGTTGCTCAGTATATACATGTACCCTATACTATAATTCCATGGCAAAAACAGATCAACATTACCTGGCATAAAAAATAAAAAAAGAGGAAAGACATCAAATCTTAGGGCTCCATTATCTGTTCATTCTATAGTTTAAGATCAAGGCACCTGAGCTTCGAATATAGAAGGACAAAATTATAAATTGCAGTGGTAACAGCCTCCCTGAAAGTTAAAAACCATACAAATTGTACATGGCTCAGAACAGCTGTTCGGAAAAGAGAAAAGAATGAAGAGAGAGGAACACAATCAAAAACCAGGAAGGCCTGAAATGTGCATTCAATTTAAAAGTCTTTAACAAGAATAAAGAAAACAGGTTCCTTGCCTTGCATGGACAGAAAGGGAGAAAAAAATGCAATTTTACACAGCTTCAAAACGCAACAATCGATCAACGCAAGAGTTCAGTCACAGTAACTCGCTGCTATAGCCCCTTTCCTCGGAGCAAAATCAACAGAAAAATCAGCGAAGGTGACAGAATATATATTATTGCTTATCTAAATGTCAATGAGTAGGAAGAGAGAACTCAAAAGAATCAACAACAGCTGAAGTTCACCATCTCTCCCTCGATCTTGACCTGCCAAATAACATGATCACAAACATGAATGGCCTTTCAAGACAATTTGTATAAAGTTGCACAATCAAGTGTGAATAACATCTAAATGTCTAACAATACATCACAAATATTGTTACTATAGTACTATTTATTACTAGCAGTTATAGTAGCTACCATAACTACAGGTATACTCTTCTTATTGTCATATATAAAGAGGTGCACACGAAATGGCCCAAGTCCTCTATCTATCAGAGAATTGAGACAGTGCACCCAGGAAATTTGGATCTAACACCAACTAGTTGTCCTCTGACTTGGGCTTACATTCTCACACTGACAGACCGAGGTTTTACCACTACATGAAATGGCGCAATTTCACTTGGACATATAATTATAAAATACCTAGTGACATCAGGGGGAAAAAGAATTAGTTATCCACTTTGAGGTGAAATTAGAAAAAAGAGTGATCTGTTTCTTTCTCAGCCAAATCTAGTTTCAGTGCAAATTAGTCAGGAAGATCAAACCCATCTCCAAACGGTTGTAAATGTTTCTAAAACTGGAAGGTTATAAATGTCTTGGAAATTTACTCAAAGCAGGCTCAAGCTTCCAACAATTGTTACTTCAGATATCACTTGAGGATTTCATATGGATTGTTTTGTCAATCCCGAAATTAAAAACATAAATGACAAACAACCCTCAGAATTGTCTCAGTCAGCTTCAAGTCTTTCTAAACTTCCATGAAACTTTTCAGCATCATTTTTTAAATTTTTCCGGGGCATCTTACGTCAGTGTTTTTGAACAGTTCAAAAATCCACCAACTTGCAACCTGCTGCCTAACTAGGACAAAAGATTGCAAATGGAGCTGTGGAAGCATAGCAGAGAACAAGAGGAATAAAACACACATGCACGTAAGAGAGCGACTGATTATATTGGATACCTGTCTATGTCTCTGTTGCCTAAAAATCCTCTATCCCCGCCCCCTTGAAAAGCTCTTCTGTCATCACCATGCCTTGTCCATGCATCTCCTCTGCCACGCGATCGAGGCCTCTCCATAAACTGAACTCCTCTAGTCTCATCAGATGCCCCAGACTGAGAAGGTGGTCTCTCGGGATAGCCAGCAACCCTCCCTGCTCCTGACCCTGGCCGTTCAATTGGCCTCTCAGAATAGCCAGCAACCCTCCCTGCTCCAGAACCTGGCCGCTCAATGGCTTTCTGACCAAACCGAACTTTGTTATCCAATTCAAGGGTCAGCAGTGCTAAGTCCCTTTCTTTTTGAAGTATTAGATCATGTATACTGTTTTTGCCTTCGCCAGGCCCTTGCATAGTTCTCTCGTTGTCGTTTGACGCAGGTTCTTTCTCAAGTTCCTTTTTTAGGTGTTCTATATCTTCTTTCAAATTCTTCTCTGTCTCTGTTTCAGGCCTGAAAACATAATTTCCTTTTAAAGACCAACAGACAACTCATGGATGGTATACATCAAAATGATTTGAAAACAGATAAACAGTCATAATGTGTACACAAGCAATTCTCAAAATCAGCCAATGGTGATAGCTAACAAATAAAGAAAGCTTGTACAGTCTCTAGGAGAGTCAATGCCGATGTGTATGTATGTGCTTCTTGCAATACCCATTTCATGTTCTGCTATGTGGTAGGGCTTCTCTTGAGAGCAAACAGAGAGCGCGGGAGAAAGGGGGGGGGGTGGGGAGATGTAAGTGGTTGTGCGGAAAGAGTAGCCAGAGAGAATTACTGTGTGTGTGTGTGTGTGTGAGAGAGAGAGAGAGAGCCAATGTTGTATTCACATTGTCATATGATTAGGATCAGTACAAATTTCCATCAAATGTCCCTCCATTTAACCTACATGATGCTCACAAGATTAGGTTCGATCATTTATTTTACTAGACACAATTGGAACTTGGGGCACCAAAATGATATTTTATCCGACCTAACAATAATACAATATCTATATATAGCACAAAAGAGCTCTATCAAATTTTTTTTTTTCTCTCTAGCTCATCTGCGCAGCCAAATTGACGAAATTATTATACTTGTGCACACAACTTGAATTAAACTTGTGAGATTGGTCAATTTTAATGAATAGAGGAGAAATTAAGAACAGATGGGTGCATTGGTGAATGTGAGCAACATGGAACGTCGTGTATAGAAACTTAACAGATAAGCCACAAGTGGCCATCCATTCTCCATGTATATTTCAGGCACATACGATAGGTTGCCAATGATTGTAAAACAGAGCATTGGTCCAGTAATGAAAAGGACCGACAGACCGACAGCCTCACCTATATAAAATCAACCAAGCTAGCTCAGGCTATAAGAAGAACGTTTACTATTGGAATTAGAAGTGCTCATCAGCATCATTTTCAAGAATGTTCCATCGACATTCCTTAGACAACATTAAGCTAGTAATCGTAAGCTAGTGGGTATGATGTCTTTGCTCGAATGGAAAGGGTAGATAAATCAATGACGAGAATAAAATTGAAATATGAGTATCTAAAACAGCCCTTTCCAAGACAAGCATATGATGGTCTTATGTATCTTTCACCATAGTTTCCCAACAACAATGACTTCTTTAACACCTTGTCATTCCAAGGTCAATTAATATGTAACTTGTTTTTCGAAAAAGCTATATTTTTATAAGCATTGACAATGAGCATCTTTGAGGAGTGACTAGCAAAAAGAAAGAAAGGAACAAGCACTTAAGGAACATTAAATAACATCTTCAAGACCACTCACAGCTTAATATGATAGCTAAAATGGTAAGCATTAAAGCATTTTGTGGTGTACCATATAGAGACTAAATACAAGGTAGCTTCAACAAAATCCACATGCACAAAAAGAGAATGCCAACAGCATAACATCACAATTGATCAAAGAAAATAACAAAAACGCATAAACACCAAACCTGTCAACTCCGCGATGCTCTAACTCCAAATCAATCTTTCTCCAATCCAACCCCTTCTCTTGAAGCAAAACCTCCCTCGGTTTAGCATCCCCAAAAGGGTTCACCTTTGGCCTCGGCTTTACTGCCCCTTCTGTTCCCTGTAATGCAGGCCCCTCAGAATGGCTCGACTGCGCGCTCCCAGGTCTATTAGACTGTGAGCTCGTTGGCCTACTCGACTTCTTAGCCTCATTCTCTGAATCAATTTTCTTCCAATCCAAACCCTTCTCCGCTAATACCTCTTCCCTTGGCCTCGCCGCCCCAAATGGATTCGGCTTATTCGTCTTCACCACTTCAACCACAGCTTCTTCGCTTCTCGGTGGATTCAATACCAATTTGGGTCGTTCCTGATCTCTGTCCCCCATTCCTCCCCTAATCCAACGATCATTTTCAACTCTGGAATCACGAAAACCAGACCCAAAGTTCGAATACTTCTGCGGGATTGGCTGTTTAGTAGCTGCCCAATTATCAACCTCGTCAGCCAAAGAAAACCCTCCAAACCCTCCTCCTCCTTCACCACCACCACCGAGAGAACTATACCGAGTGGACCGTCCAGAATCGGCCAAAGGTAATGATTTTTTGGCTTGTGCCCAGTTATCGACCTCATCGGCCCGTGAGGGTTGATCAATATCTGAAACCCTAGGTGATGGACCCCTTAGATCATTCTCCAATCCACCATAAGATCTTCGATTATTGCCCCAAGAATTATCGCCATCCATGTCCCGCCCACGATTTCGACTCATTGGTGGCCCACTAGACCGGGAGCCATAGTTTGAAAATCCTCCGCCGAGCCGGCCGTACTGCATTTCCTCAGCGGACCGTTCTTTCGGACCCGTCGGAAGCCGCATCATTTCAGCGGGAGTCAAGCTTAACTCCTGGCGCGCCGAGCTAGATGAGCCATAGAATTCCTGTAAGCTCATCTTGGTTTTCTTCTTTTGTTTCGTGCTTGCCGCTTCTCTCAGACTCGGAAAGCTCTGCGAATCGCCACCGCTTGCGGCGGAGGAAGCCGCCGCTTGTGCTGCTGCAGCCTCGGTGGCTTTTTTCTCTTCGGCTTCCTCTCTCTCTGCTTCGGCTGCCCATGCACCGATTTTCCCCCAAGGGTTCGTCATTTTTCTGGTTTTTTTGAGATCTGAAAATATAATGAAAACAAAACGGCTGTAGATTCAAAGCGATATATAGAGACACGTGCGTGTATGTATAGGTGAATGAGAGCTAGGCTCCGTTAATGGAGCCAGAGCTCCGAGAACATATACGTCGTGGAGTGGTGGGTTGTGGGCGGTAGTGTTCGCAGATTGTGGTCGTGAAAATGGAAGGGGAGAGAAATTTCTAATGGGCTTGTGCGGTTTTTCTTTAGCTTTTCGGAGATAGAGAGGTGGGGTGGAAATGATACGTGCACCGGAGGAGCGTGAGATTCATGGCACATGCCAGCTGTAAATATTAAAAATTTTATTTCTTTATATAATTTCGAGGACATTTATGTTTTAATTGGGATCGCCAATGAAACGAAAAGTTTCTCGTAAAGTTCTGACGACTTTTGAAAAACAGAACAAAAATAAATAATTAATTATGAATTTATTTTTAAATATCTTTAAATAATTTTCAAAATATATTAAAATATATTTAAAAATAATATCAAAACATTCTGAAACAAATAAAAATATCAATATTTTAATTGTTTCGCGAGCTGACATGTCAGTCTTTGATTGCTTGTGATTCGGAGGATATATTATCAAAATATCATGGCTTTGTTTTGTTCATTGATTATAGGGTTAACAGTATCTCCACCCTGGTTTTAAGCCTGAGCTGGAATAGTGTAGCCAGTAAATGCCCAGAGGATGCTTGAGTTCTCAGTCTTCTTGAGTCCAAAAATAATTTTCCGGTACCACGCTTCTATTCTTGGTCTAATAAAAACGTGATATCTGTAAAATTTACTTATTTATTTTATTTTATTATTTTTTACGATCAATAACCATAAATTCATCAAATAATATACGGATCCTAATTAATTTTAGTGTAATATAATAGGTAACTGACCACATCATATACTTGAATTGCTTCAACTATTTGAAACAGTGACTCTAGTCATATGATGAACTTGAAAATCCGGGCTTAATCCCTCTTTGCAATGTTATACATAAAAAGAAGCATACCCAAAAAAATAGAAACATCGTTCAATCAAAGAAAATTCTTTTAAAGTCTAGCATAAGCCAAGTCTCCTTGATTTGACAATAATAGTCGATTATGAAATAATCTTTTCATCGACTTTCTCGCTCATGAGGACTTTCTAATTAGTAGGGTTTATAGGAGGCCTGCCTTGCTGATAGGTATGATTAAAGTCTTAATGACCAAGTCTTTCTCTCCACGAAGCAAAGTTTTGCTTACTTTTGTGCCTCTTATCAGGTAGATGCCCATATATTTCTTACATACTACCTCTCCCCACTAATAAGTTTGTATTGAAGCCTTCCTCACCCACTTTTGGACCTTTGGTTAGCCCAAAAGTTAGTGGCTAAAAAGCTAAGTTAGTCTACCTTTTAGCATTTTCAATGTGTTTTTTTTTTTTGGTTGGGATCAGATCTTCAAACTTCTCTCTAAGGAATTGTGGCAAAAGAACTTGGAATATGGGGGGTTTTAGTCAACTAATATATAAAAAGTACATTATAAAAATCTTGAAAAAAACAATAGATGCTTGTGCAAAAGCAACCTAAAACTATTAGTGGTGTTGAATGATTCTTGTTGCTTGCCCACCTATAGTTCGAGGAATGTATTTATTTGATGGTAGGTTGGACAGTGATCTAACTTTTGTTCTTTTCTTTATGCAAATTATTGGCCAATGGAATACTTCATGTGTAAGTCTATGCTTTTAGCTTTTAAATTGTGGTATAGAATTTTCCCATTGGGCAGTCACTATGTTGGTTGGTGTTTCTCTCTCTTTCCTTTTTTTTTAACAATTAGGGGTGTTCAGAGCAATTTATGCGCAACTCGATAAATTTTCTCTCAAATCCGGTCAAAAGCAGGTTATCCACATCGGAACTATGATATTTAATAGTGATAAATATCTCATATATTGACCATAAAAAATTGTCAAATTCAAATTCAGGGTATCTAAATTTTCTTTTTCATTTATGTAGTGTAACATTGTCAAATGGACTGCACCATATATTTATAGTACGTGAGGTTGGTAGAATACAAACCCTATGCCCATTAAAGTAATAGAAAGTCTCTAGGATGTTCTTGTAATATCATGAATTGTTGTTATTAGAGGACTATTATATAATTTGACAAAGTTTTGTCTCAATTATTATATTTTATCATTTTATGGTACGATCGTAACTTACTTTATACCTCAATCTTTTACTCAAATTAGTACTAAAACTGATTAACCGGCATTTCAATCTTTCAAGAGAGTACCGTGTCTGTCATTTTCCATGTTTATTGATCTCCCAGTTGGATGTCATTTTTGTTTATCTTTCTTGCACTTTTGCACAAAATAGGAATCACTCTGTTTTGGTAATACATGAAACTGTGTTTCCTAAGGCAACCAGAGAGACTCTCTAACATGTATTGCTGGAGAACAACTGTCATTTACTACTTGGAGTCAAGGGGGAAGCATCTTGCAAGCTAATTCTTTCATGTTAAGTCACACACACACAAATTGGTATAAGTTGCCCATGCCACCCTCCCTTCTCTCCTCCTAAATGGGATCTTGATGGACATTAACTTCGACATTGATGTTAGTCCTCCAAATGTTATTTTTTGTTCTTTGAATATTTATAGAGAAAAACTGTTGTGAATGTAGAGAGTGAAATGAAAATAATCAAAAACAAAAACACGAGATTTATGTAACTCGATAGAAATTTTAAATACGTCTACAAGAAGAAAAAATATTCAATGCAACGGTGATATCATGTCAGCACTGCTGATGTGGTATCACCAACCAATAATAAAATATTAAATGGACAAGGTGAACCCTCCTTGAATAATTATTACCTTACATGGAGGAAAAGTGGGTAATTATTTGTTTACATGTAGGATTAGTTATTAATTTTTGTGGGGTCCAATTGCTTTTTTTTTTTTAAATATATTATTGGTTGGTGGTACCAGTATCGTCGTTGTAATGAATATTTTTTCCTATGAGAGCAACTATGTTTCACTATGTACCATAATTCATATGGTTATAACATATTTATAGGTATCAGTTAACAACCCTAATCCGAGTTCAACTAAAAAACTTAGTACCGATAAATTTGATTCACCCAATTATAGTAAAACTCCTCTACTATATATAAATCAAAAAATCTTAATATACACATATCATACTGCAGGAAGAGTACACCTCCTAAACTTATTCTTCGCTCCGCTAAGCATGCCAACTAGTCCATTGTATTTTGAGTTTAGTGAATATAAGTCACCTACTATTTTTAATAAAATCAAAAATATAACCCAAGTGTTCTCTTTTCTTGAGATTTTTTTTCTGGGTGTTTAGTAAATACAATTCTTATGCGAACAATGTTTCTCCAATATGCTAATTATCAAAGCAATTCAAAGCATTTTGTTTTCAACAGGGTTTAACATGTGTTTTTCTCACTGAAAATGAAAAATGAAATTGACAATTCAACCAAAGTGAAAGCAGCGTACAAAATGCCTGATTCTTGTTCTAAGATTGAGGCTTGGACTTTGGGTGTAGGCTTAAATACAAGGAAACGATTCAAGTTATATTACAACATCGTAAAATAATATTTGGCAATACACTACGAGTCGATGACGATGATTCGAAGGATCGACTCGATTCGAACGACTAAGCCAAGTAAACTAGGATGTCTCCGAGTTGATTGTTGTAGAGTGAACTTCGTGATAAATATGAAAAGCAAAAAGATATCAAAATAAAAGTTAATGAGTCATTATCGAAATCGAGCGGTACTTTCAACCACGTTTAAAATGCTATTTTTTGAAAGTTTAATAGTGTCAAGTGCCGACAAAAACATGAGAAACAGGGTTGGCAAGCATAAACTCCAAAAGAATAGGGTCTTATTATGCGATTTCAAAATGAGTGAATGGGTCAACTGTAAAAGCCAGGTTCTAAGGAATTAATTATGGCTTAGCGAATGCAAAACTCGTCTGAGAATGACAGTTGATCTAATGACTACCACTCCCGCTATTAAATCTTAAGGTCACTGGTTTAAATTTCGTTACCCTTTAACTATGCCAAATTTGTAAGGAAACTTAAAATATGGGCCATCTCTTTCTTATTGGTCATCGAAGGCTGTGCCTTATGTGTGGATGCATTGACTTTTGAGCCCACTTGTATTGAGTGGAAGTGTTGAATCCTTCTTCCTCCTCAACTGCCTTAAAGCTTGTAATTGACTTTCTCATCTTGTCCGTAAATTTGCACAGAGAAGAATACACATGGAGTCTTATTATCTTCTCAAAACTTCTCTTCTTCTCTTCTGCTTAGTGGAGACTTGTTATGGAGGTGGGCTATTCTCTTCCCTTCAACAAACTCTTGCCGTCACTGCTTCTCCCAGAGAAAGCCAAGGTAATATGTTCATTTACATAGCCCTTTGAAGTCTATTTACAGAAATTCCAATCCCTTTGTAACATAATTCAGGATTGTGATATTGATCATTTGTTCTATGACGTTTGAGATACATTAAATGCTACGTTGCATAACAATATCATGTGATATAGACAAAATAATAGATGGAATTAGAGATAGTGTAAGATGATACAGTCAAAATAATACATAAAAGTAGAAGTTGAATATGATGAGAGATTCACGTGAGTCGATGGCGATGAATCAGATAATTGAACCAAGTCAATCAAGACGTCTTTGAGTAATTCATGATTCAAGTGACACTCATGGTTGACACGGAACGTAGAATGACATTAGAATGAAAATTACGAGTTGTATCGAATTCCAATTCTGTATTGATGAATTGATGATTTAGGGGTTAATAAATTGGACCTTCCTTTTAAGTGTTTGTTATATTAAATTTAGCAATTTCCAATCCTGCCATTACTTAATTATAAATGATACCTTTTGCAGTCTTAAAAGCTGGAGAGGACAGTATAACTGTGACATGGGGATTGAACCAGAGTTTAGGACCAGGAACAGATGATCTATATAAGTCTGTGAAGGTGAAGCTCTGCTATGCACCCAACAGCCAGGTAGACCGAAAATGGCGGAAAACCTCGGACAACCTCAGCAAGGACAAGACCTGCCAATTTACCATCGTTAACAAACCTTATGGAAACAACCAGAGTTTCGAGGGGCAAATCGAGAGAGATGTTCCTACTGCTGCCTATTTTGTGAGAGCTTATGCATATAATTCGGCCGGCGAGGAGGTTGCTTTTGGCCAAACAAC